AAGAAGAAATACGTTTCAATGAAGCAAGCAAGAGAATTTTCACTTGACAGAGAATTATGGGGAAAATTCTACCTCAAAAGAAAAAATACACACCCATGATGAAGATATAAATATTGATAGTATGTATGACTTAACTTCCAGTCCTTTAAGAAGTTCTGATAAATGCTCACCAGTTAGAACCACTAAAGTTTAAGCTCTTCACGTTGTTATGTCTATCTGATAAAGTGTCAAAATACATTATTTGAATGCTATTGAATTCCTTTATATTAAGTACTAAGTTTTAAATAGTACATTAGTCAAAATACTTTTAAGAGATTATCATTTTTTGAACTGACATACTCTCACTACTACCCCCGTTTTATCCATCGATGATTTCTTTGAATTTTTTTTTTTCCATTTCAGAGAGGAAGAGAGAGATAGAAACATCAATGATGAGAGAGAATCATGGACCAGTTGCCTCCTGCACACCCCACACTGGGGATCAAGCCCACAACCCGGGCATATATCCTGACCAGGATTCGAACCGTAACCTCCTGGTTCATAGGTCGACGCTCAACCACTGAGCCACACCCGCTGGGCCAGATCATAACTCCTTCCATATCTCCTCTCTCCTCTCCACTGCTATCACTTTAATCTGTACTGCTGAAATGGCCTCCTACCTGATTCCCAGCCCCCTTTTCTCTTAACCTCTGACCAATTCATCAGAATAGCCACACTGACCTACAATTGTAATCAGAGCACAATACTCCCTAGTGTAAAACCCTTCAAGGGCTTCCCACGAATTGAGAGTAAACTCTAGACCTTCCTGCGACTTTTCCAAACTCATCCTGAGCCATTCTCCACCCACAGTGGCCTCCTTTCGGTTCCTAGGATTCACCAAACTCTTAGCATCATGTTCCCTCTACCTACAATGCTCTTCGCATAGCTGGATCCTTATCTCACTTTCTGTCTTGATAATGCCTCCTCTGAGGAACCATCCCAACCCTTCTATCTCAGGAGATCCCCATCACACACCTCCACCAAGTCACAGAATGCTGCTTACTTTCTTTGTAGTTATCTTCTCAGTCTGTACTTATTTTGCTTATTTACTTGCTCATTCTCTCCTCAATGACCTCGGGGAGGCAGGGATTATGACTATTTTCTTCACCATGTGTACCCAGATCTTCACACGGAGCAGGCACTTAATAAACATTTCAATGAATAACCCAGAAATTTGGAAGTGTCCAAAAAAGCAAAACCATTAGCAGATGCAGAGATGCAGATCTTGTGAAGACCCTGACTGGCAAGACCATCACCCTTGAGGTTGAGCCCAGTGACACCATTGAGAATATCAAAGCTAAATCCGAAACAAGGAGAGCATCCTGCCTGACCAACAGTGTCCGATTTTTGCAGGCAAACAACTGGAGGATGGCCACACTCTCCTAGACTACAATATTCAGAGAGTCTACTCTGCACTTGGTGCTTTGTTTGAGGGGTGGCATCATAGAACCCTCCCTCCGCCAGCTAGCCTAGAAGTATAACTGCAACAAGATTACACCTGCCTGCACCCCTGGCCGCAAGAAGAAGGACGGCCACACCAACAACCTGTGCCCCAAGAAGTTAAATAAGGTCCTCCGCCACTTTCTCGGGCCAACAGGGCAGCCTTCTGGCTGAACTGTGTCCCTGGGGCCTCAATAAAATTTCTCTTTTGTTAACTGGAGCAGTAAAAAAAAAAAAAAAAGGAAAACCATTAATTCCTCTAAAATAAACTACAGGAATCAACCTCTGATTTTGCAAAGGATAATTTGCCCTAGGCACCAAGCAAATTAACGTGAATGAGAAGGATGCAAACTTATACTTTCCTGAGTCAAGAACCTTCCTCTACATTTGGGTTTTCTGAGACACTATGTTACTTAAGAAATTGCAAATGTAAACTTTGTTCCAAATCAAATAGGACACCAAGTGATAGCCAGCCTGGTTAGCAGAATATAAGACAAATGGGAAAATGAATGAGGAATGCTTAACTTGCTTTAAACAGAGAAACCATGTGTTTTAGAATGCCGTTTGACTAAATGCAGGAAGAACCCCAGCACTCACCCTCAGAATCGACTGGACTGTCTGCATGGGATAGGTAACTGTGGTGGCAATTGCTTTGGCTACTGCACCAATGATGAACACATCCAAAGACGAAAGCTGGAAAGCAAAGAAAGACGAATCATGTCAATCCAAACAACAAGAACAGGAGATTACTGTCTGCTGCTTTCAAAATCAGTATTACCTTCATTCTTTTCTTTAAAAGTTGCCGTTTTAAACCTTCATAGAACATGAACTGGATGGCAGGATTGAAAACCAGCAGCAAGGAGGGAAACGTGCCATTCCATAAAGACAAGATTCCTTCATCTCGAATGATCTGTTGAAAAGCATCTAAGCAAGAAATCAAGGACATCTGATGACAATCCCATAACTAGAGAAGACAAGGCGAATTCTGTTCAAATGGTTCTATCAAGATTTCCTTCTTGCCCAGCTGGCATGGCTCAGTGGTTGAGCGTTGATCTATGAATCAGGAGGTCATGGTTCAATTCCCAGTCAGGGTATATGCCCGAGTTGTGGGCTCAATCCCCAGTGTGGGGTGTGCAGGAGGTAGCCGATCAATGATTCTCTGTCATCACTGATGTTTCTATCTCTCTCTCCCTCTCCCTTCCTCTCTGAAATCAAATCTATATATAAAATTTCCTTCTTGTAATGATATTTTAGGGGCAAGTTCATCAGTTAAATACTTTTTGATAATTATCAGATACTGACATTACTAAGTTATTGAGAGACAACTTTAATCAGGGAACTCCTTTTGACAATCTGGAGTCAGAATGTCAAGTGTTCCTAAGTAATCACCAACACTGGAAACTCTGTATTACAGAGAATTGTGAACTGATAGCCTATGTGTTTCACAACAAAGGCCAGTAAAACAAATGATAACATAGTTCCTTGGAGTCCATTTTATAGCACTGACTTATAACAAAATCACTGTCATTCCAAACACAGGAAAAGAGAGCCTGGCAGTGTGATACTATTAGAAAGCAGACGCTCATAGATAGCAGACATTAACCTGGTATCTTTATCTAAAGCTAACACTAGGAAAAAAAGTACAGTAGATTATTCTTCAGATATATTCAACCCCTCCCACCCACACTCCAAGGCAGTAGTTACTTCTCTACCCCATGTCTTTGAGCTTGGCCATGTAATATGCTTTGGCCAATAGGATGTTAGCAGTCAAGATTCAAAAAGGGACTCGAAGTATGCTTGTACAACTGGGTGTGCCCTCTTGTGCATCACCATTACCAAGAGAAGAATATGCTCAAGCTGGTGCCAGAAAGGTGATGAGACACGTGGAGCTGAGACTCCCAGGCTGGGGTTGGCCTAGAGGAGTCAAATCCCTGTCAATTCTAAGACACATGAGCTACACTAAACAAATGCTTACTATTGAATGTTGAGATTTGAGGTTGTCTTTTATATAACACTAGAGGCCTGGTGCACAAAATTAGTGCACTCGGGGGGGGGGGTCCCTCTGCCCGGCCTGCGCCCTCTCACAGTCCGGGAGCCCTCGAGGGATGTCTGACTGATGACTTAGCGCTGCTGAAGAGGTGGGAGAGGCTCCCACCACTGCCGCTGCGCTCGCTAGCCATGAGCCCGGCTTCTGGCTGAGCAGCACTTGCCCTGTGGGAGCGCACTGACCATCAGGGGGCAGCTTGTGCGTTGAGCATCTGCCCCCTGGTGGTCAGTGCACATCATAGTGACCAGTCATTCCGCTGTTCGGTCAATTTGCATATTAGCCTTTTATTACATAGGATCATTGTGGCAATAAATTCCAAGTACAAAAAAAACCTTTAAATAAAAACACACACAGAGACACTTACCAATAATACCTTTGTAGTTGGTTGGTACAATGTCTTCATTCCTAAATTTTGCCCCTTGCAGCTTTAGTCTGGTGTTTACCACCCAGAGTGGAGTTGTCAGCAACACATTCACCACTCCTTTAAAAAGAAAGAGGGAGAGACAAAGAGAAAGCAAAATGTAACCTTTTGAGCTCTGCTGTCTTATATTGAAGCTACATACCAATGTTTCATTTATTCTTCTGCCACTGACCTACTGGGAGACCCACGGTACGGTGTCTCTTTGTGCCAGGGTACAACCTAAGCCACTACTGTTAGAAGCAATTCAGAAGACTTGCTGATGGCAAAATGGCTGGCAGTAGTACCTCTCCACATGAAATGAGAAGTAAGTTTCCTTATTTGTGTAACAGGAGGTAATCTGTCAATTTATATAGCATCCAAAATAGCAATTTTGGTACAGTTTTAAATACAGTTTTTCAAAAACAGCTTTAAGAGACAAGTGGCGTATTGATCACATGCTAAGTCCATGACAACATCAGATAAAACACACAATTAACAATTCTCTCATACGCAGTTTACATGGTTTTAAGTGCATATGGATCTGGTATAATGGATGACAAGTGATGACACTGAAAAGTGCTTCAACGGTGACTAGATGATTACAAAAGAGTTCCTCATCACTTGGGGGATTAGGACAGGCAGGCAACAAGCAGCAGTTATGAGCTGTCATAAAACACCTGAAACAGCTTTGCAAGGTCATGATCCTTACAAGCTTAAGCATGGGGGTCATGGCCCCCCAGGGTTGGCTCAGAGTGGAACAATACAATGATTCAGATGCTTCCTTTGGAAAACACATAATCCCAATTTAACACCATCTTGAGATATTAATATATTCCTCATCAGTCCTGAAATGATTAAAAAAACACACACCAAAACAGTTGTAACAAAGTGCCTGACACATGGTATATACTTTATAAATACTTGTCAAATAAATATTGAACAAATGAACCTATGAACAAACTCATCAAACAACCATACATGGAGCTATCTGGCCCTAGTCATGCTGTGAAGAACCAAGAGCTGCAATCCTAAGGAAGAGAAATCTCTTTTACTAAAAGTCATTTAAACACAACAGGAGAAAGGTTTTGATTTAAGGAATCGCAAAACATACTACAGTCAAACCTCGGTTCTCGAATGTTTCCCATCTGGAACAATCTGGTTCTTGACCAAGTTGTTCATAGGAAAAAGGTCTCAGTTTTCTAACAGAACCTCAGTTCTCAATCTGACAACCCTTCATGCTGACACATCAGCATGACAAAAACATCTCTCAGGCCACAAAGGAGAAAATTCGAGTCAGTTTACTGCTAAACCTCCTTTGTGAACATCTCAGGAAATCAGGAAAGCGTGCTGTGAATATTTTAATGTTTTGTGCGTTTTGTTTGCTTTTGTTGCTGGTGAAATGTACACTTACCGCAATTTTAAAACATAAAGAGGCCATCAAGTGTGCTGAAGTTGCTAAGGGTGTGAAAGTGCTCATAAAACAGTGATCACAGGCTACTGAAGAGGTGGAAACAACTGTTGTTGATTTGGGTAAGTGTAAAGCAGTTAGCTGGTTACATTTCAGAGGCAATGCTATGTGAAAAAGCAAGATGCTACCACCCCCCCCCCCCCCCCCCCCAATGAGTGCTGAAAGTGATTCATTCAAGGCTAGTAGGGGGTGGTTCGATAAATTTAGGAAAAGAAGTATTTGCCTATAGATTAAACAGTACATTAGAAAGTTTAAAACAGAAAACCATTTAAGGGTCTGGAATGGATTCATTCAATTGACATTATTTCTAATGGGGAAAAATGATTTGGTTTTCGAACAAATCGTTTCTCAAACAGCCTTCTGGAACAAATTAAGTTCAAGAACCAAGGTTCCACTGTATACTGAAAATACAGTCTAACCAAGAATAAGCCTGTGCGACAGCCAAGATATTAAAATTGTTTTCATTTGTTGCATACAGAGCAAAAGTAAAATATTTTGCTACTGCTCTCTTGGAAGCATTATGGGAACATATTTCTCAAAATAAAAGACATTATCAAATAATTTTATGAGCTGTATTTGTCATATTTTTATAGAGAGGCATTCCACCAAGAAGTCGTCATTAATTAGGACTCAATCAATGTATTCATACATTGTCACTTCAGGCATTGATCATAATCTGA